TTATTTTTTTGTATATATAAACACATTCTGATATGTACGTAAAATAATGATGATAATAATAATAAGTTATATATTTCATACTTCAAAAATTAAAAAAAAAACTTTCAAAATTTAAAATATAAAAATAAAACTTGAATTGAATTTTTTTTAAAAGGAAGAAAAAAGAAAAAAAGAACTGAAAAGAATAACTTTAAAATCTTTTAAGACCAATAAATTTAAATATATACTATAAAAAATTAAGATAGTTTAAATCTATTTTTAATTATCAAAGAAATTTTTCTAAGAAAGAAAAAATGTTAAAAAATTTCTACAAGAAAGTATCAAAAGACATTGAGAAAGTCATTTTTCTAAACATCGAAAATAAATAAATAAATAAAACACCTGAGCATTAGGTATATTTCAAATTTCAAATTTAAATTTTACTTATTTATTAAAAGACTATTGATACACATTAAAAAATAACTCTTTAAGAAATTTATTTAATAGTTTAAAATAAAGAAGTAAAGACATAGGTTTATAAATTAAGAAATATATATATATATACATATATATATATATATATTCTTCACATCTATATAATATTTTTATGTTATTTTTGTTAAGATTATTTTTAAGATATTATTAACAGATATCCTATTAATAAGCTTATATTGAAAAAAATAATTTAAATTGTAGACATATATACTGCTTTTAGCTTATTTATAAAAATCAAGGTTTTTTTTAGTAAAAAAACTTCAAATAATATAGAATTTTCTTCTTAAATAGACAAGTCTTTTTTCATTTACTTCATTGATAAATTAAATCTTTTAAAATGATATCCACCTTTCAATATATATGTATATATATATATATATATATATATATAAAGGAATTAAAAACATTCTTTTATAATAAACCAATAATACCAAAAAAAACTATGTTTAAAATTTTTATAACAAAAGTTTATTTGTATTATATAAAAAAAATATTATTATGTATTAATTTTTTAGGGCATTTAATTTTTTAATCTTTATCATCTTAACTTCTTTGTTTACATGACTTTAAAGAAAATAAAATATTAAGAAAACTAAAAATATTATTCTAATTATAAAAGACATACAAATATAAATAAGTTTTTCATAATAATCTCTATATTGGGCTCCATATTTTAATTCTATCCAATAAATTATAACCTATAAGACTTAATTTTATATAATTCTTGTTTCTTGCCTATTATCCTAAACAAGAAGTAAATGGTGATATAATTATTTTATAAATAGAAATATATGTTATAACAACTAATTGATAAGTAGAATAAAGAATTGATTTTTAACATAAGCCATTCTCAAGTATGATAGGATCTTAGATTTAAATCTTAATAGTATCCATTAAGTACATTTGAATTGATTTTATAATTCTTTCTTTTGGCCACACTTATCACTCTCTTATTGCTTGTACAAACATTCTAAAAACATTGAAACCTCTCTAAATTGCTCAATTAGATCAACATTAATTTTTTTTTTTCTTTCAATTCTCAAGTTTAGGAATTATTTCTCAATAATTCACATATAGAAAAATAAAATAAAATAATTATGCTATTATATAAACTCTGGCACTCAAAGAAAAAATTACACACTATTAATTACACACTATTAATATGTCAAAAGTGCACTCCAATCACTTCAAATCATAACTTTATGTTATGCAAGTAGTTATTGTAGATACATCTACTAATTTGAGTATGTTAGTTTAACTAATGATATTTTGGGTATGAGGGTGGTATGTATGTGCATGAAGTCATGGAAATCTTGGAATTGTTTACTTTAGTTTTTTACTTAGATTGTCTTTTAGGTTTGGTTTTTTTTTCAAATTTTGTATGATTTTGTTGAAAATTCTTCTTTTTAAGGATTTGATCTTTATGGTTGATCATGCTCTTTTATAATCAGATATTGTTGGAACTTCATCAATTCTTTACAAACAATCTGCTACTATTTGATATGTAGACAAGACACTAAAAGACAAAACATGTGATATCATAACTTGCAATGATTTTTGTTTATTATATGCTTTTGTATTGCTTCTAGACTTTGGAACTCCTTTCTTTGTTCATCATAATAGATGCATATATAACCTTTTGTAATCTTCAATCCAAGTTGAATAAATATCCCTACTGGATCTTTCAAGAGTTCATTAAGCCATGTTCTCTATGCATTTGCTCTATACAAGCCTCAAAAGTTTGATAGCTTTTGCCACAAAATAAATAGTCATTGGAGTTCTAATTACAAAGAAAAGGCAAGAATTCCACCTCAGGAAGAGGTATGGGATTAAACCATGGATCAAGTAGAAGTAATACTTGACAAGAAACGGACGGATGTTAGGAAGATTCAATATTTGTGTACTTTCAAAGGGTATCTTCTATATGAGTTCCAATGGATAAATGAAAGGAACTTGCGACATGTACAAGGATTAGTCACAGCTTTCAATAAAAAAGTTGGTGACTATAGAAGACCTATGACTACGAGGAAGCAGATCAAAAACTACTAAAGGATAAGTTGGTTGATTGATAATGTGGGAGGGACTAATAGCAAGAGTGACCAAGAAGATGAGGACATCTTCACTTTAAAGTGGAAGAAGGTCACAAGCTTATGTGACTTGTAAGAAAAGAATAAAAAAAGTATCCATAAGTTAAAGTATAAGAGGAGATATTAAAACTTGGAATAGAAGGTGGCAGAAGTTTTCAAAAGATAGAAGATTTTGAAAGGATTCCAACCCGAGGAGACTTCATAGAGGGAAACCTTAAGAAGCTTGTATGAAGTGGATACAAGGCTCTAAGCAACCAGGCCTAAATGGTTGGCCTTTCCTAAATGGGTTTCTCATAGAGTAATAGCAAGTCACTTCCATAGGATAAGGAAAGGTACTAAGGTGAGGCGGATCTTAGTTAAGGAGTTCCACGGTCGAGGTTAAGTCCAAGTAAGAAGTAACATTTCCACCATTCACATTGAGAAATGTGAACTTTCAAAATTTATGGAATTGAGGAAACTTAAGGAAGTTGAAGGCAAAAAGGAAAATTGTACAAGAAATGTGAGAAGGGGGTAGCATCCCATCTCTATGAAAAAAAACAAAAAAAAAAAAAAAAAAAAAAAAAAAAAAAAATCCTCCTATATGTCAAAAAAAAAACTTTTGAAGGACTAGAAGGAATGAATGGAGGCTAAGTAGAAAAGAAGCCTTCAAACTACTTAGGAGGAAGAGGGATGTGGTGCAAAACATCCATTATAATGGATCTTTAAAATAGAAATAAGACTCATATTCTATATGTCAATGAGGACATTGACTCTCCAAAGTGGAGGAAGGTATAAGGGTCGAAAAGTTCAGATCCTTGCACTTGTGAGTCGAAGAGATAATTTGAGCCTCGGCAATCCGCAAGCCCATGGGAGTGCCGTGGTGAGGTAGCAAAGCAGTGGTTGGGCAGGAAACCTCCCTTACATCAGGGGACCACAAAGTGCAAGAGCATTGTGCGGTGTAAAGGATGATATGTAGAGTTCCAGTTGAGTCCCAGGTGATTCGAAGGAGGTCTAAGGACTCAACCGAACCAACTAATAAGAGAGAATTGCGTCACAAACAAGGTCACGAAGGTTGGATTGTGTGGACGGCTTTTTGGGGACATGATCAGTTCGTGACGTGAGTACTAACGGAATAGCTTGGTGGTTGTGTTTCAGGGGCGAATAGAGTGATGACCAGGAGGTCCGTTACAACAATTATCTCTTTCAGTATAGTTCATTCGAGCAGTTTGAACCACTCTCAATACATGAAGGCAGTCGAATCTATCGGAGCGCCAAAGTCAACGTCTACAAAATGGATTTGATTGAACATTGTTTTATTAACCAATAGGAATTATATGTCCAAAGTATGGAATTTAATTCCTAAAAGTAGTCAATTTAGAAGCGTGCAATGATAGGATCCTGCAGACAATAGTGCTAGACCCACCTACTTACCAATTGATACCTATATATATATATATATATAGCTGCGACTAAACCGAAACGGATGTCGACAAGAGAAAGGAAAAGAATTGTGGAGTAGTTAAAGAAGCGGATTAGGAGAGGGACCGACATGGTAGACGTGAATGAGCAACAGACGACATGAGAGGTCGAAGAACAAGGATATAGTGAGAGAACGACTGGAATAACTCATGTCTAAATAAATGTTTTTTTTTTTTTTTCCACGTTATCCTTCACTTGTGCTTCCCTTCTATATCATGAAATAGTAATTGTGGCCGTGTATGTTTTTGTTCTTCAAATGGTCCTTAATATCAGTGTCGTATTTGCTCGATAGACTTGAGCGCTGGATTATGTTTTAGTGTGACTCATGTGGGATTGCATGGTGGGTTTATGAGCTGTACTTAAGATACCTTTGGAGGCAGCAACCTCGGTATAATATAGTGTAATACAATTATAATATAATTATCATAAATAAATACAAAACAGTAATGAATAATTTAGTTCAAGACGACTTTAGAAATATAATTTACAATGTATCAATAGAAAATATTCCAAAAGAAAGTGTGGCTAACTTCGTATTTGCATAATAAATGTCTGTGTAGACGAGTGTATGTGTATATATATAAAATCTAAAAAATAATTTGTTATATGATTTTTTTTATAACAATTAAGATGGACCAAACACAAGTAAAAGGAAATCTTAATGAAGAATTATTTAATACTCGTGAAAGAATTGTGAAATTATAAATCCTATAACAATAATATTATTCTTATTATTATTATTGTGCAACATTAAAGAAATATGTTCCCATGATTTTTGGTTGCATTGTTTGCATTGCAATTGGATGAAGAAGAACATCCAAAAAAATCCTTTTTAGAACCGCATTCACACTCTAGAATGTTAGGCAGGCAAGACCCAACGTCCCGGTCGTAGGGATAACCATGGGGGACGGTCTTAGGAACGCAGAAGGAAACGTGGGCGGGTCTCCGCCCTCTTTCGTGTACCCACAACCGTCGTCGTTGCTCCTCCCCCAGAAGCCTTTGCTGTTGCACCACAGAGTTTTCACCTCGAGCTCTCACGAATTCTAAGCAATCATGTCGATTTCGTTGCTGTCGCTGCTCTCACCGTCACCCACATGCCTTTCCAGGAGCCTCTCGTCGTCGAGTTTCTCCATTGAAAGAGCCTCATGTACTACTACTACTTCATTGGCTTTGAATGGGAATCTGAGAGGGAGAGAGAGATGTGGCAGAGGAATGCCGGGCAGCGTCAGCTTCGAAAGAAGGCTTGTGGAGCGTGCGGCTGGTGGGGATCAACCTTCTGGAGTCGTTCTGGAGGAACCCACGTCTGCGACTGGTAGCTCTGGTGGGTTTTGCTTGAAATTGTGTTTTGCGTATTTTGGATCAATTCATTGAGTAGTGAATAGGGTCCAGGAGATGAGAGATTTGACGCATGAGAATCGTGGTGTTGTTAGTTGTAGCGAGTTAATTGGCGGATGGTTGAGGTTGAATGCTGGATTTATGCTGTGGATGCGTTTGTTGCGAAATTCAAACGTGGTCAGGGTGAGAATTATATAAGAAAGTCTGGATATTGGGCTATTCCCATCCATGGCCCTTGGTGGATATGGTTTGCCGAGGATGTTGTGTCTGGGGTGCCCTTCGTGTGATGGGTGGAACGGGATTCTTATCGGTGGAACAGTGAGATTTCCGCAGGAAGTTTAAATTGGGAAGCGTTTGCTGCTCAGGTGAGTGGAGAATGGGATGGATACAGTGCAGAGTTCAATTTCGCTGGGGAGCCCATTCAGCTGCCGAGTAACATTGTACCGGATGCATTTCGCGAGTGGGGAGTCGAGATTCACGATTGGCAAACCCAGGCTCCGACCCTTGCTCATCCGGAGGAGGGTCATTTGTGGTACAAAGTGATTAGGTTACACCCAACTGTGGGTTGTGAAGCTGATGCTGCCACTGTGTATAGTGTCCAGGTTTCTGATGTTCAGTCAAATGTCTCCGCGCTTGCATATCACAGCAGCGGGTCATACACAACTGTATGGCGTGGTAAGTGCGTCACACAAGAATCGAAGAGCACTGGCCCAGGCAAGGAGGTGACGAGGGAGGGCGATGTAATAGAACTGGAGCAATGTATTGTGCATGATCGGAAGCGAATCCGAGTCTTGCAACAGCTGGGAGCTCGGAGACGTGTCATGATATATCGTGAAACCTGGGAAGGTCCATTCCGCAATGGCGAGTCACTCTGTGGTTGTGCGACTGGTAATTCAGCTTTTGCCACACAAAAGCCTTTGCAGGGCGATTCTCTTGCAGGATCCTGGCATGCCGAGCTTTACACCGCGCAGAACCTGGAGAATCAGCAGGTTTTGTAAAATTGCAAGCTGAGCTGTTGAATGTCAATGTTGTCTTTTCGTTTTGCAACCTTTGGAGAATTTGGGTTCTAAATTCTGAACGTATTTCAAACTCCTTGCGGCTTGCTTTTCGTAGTTTTTCTATTTTTGTATTTTATTTTTATTTTTTTATGTTAAGCGTTATCAAGGCTCTTGGGCATTCATTTGATTTGAATATGAATGTTGGTGTGATTGTACTTGCCTATACTTATGGAGAGCTTGTTTATTGCAGACGTTCATAAGTGGTGAACTGATTCCGTCAGGCGTGGAAGACTTTGACAGGAAGTTGGCTGATGAAGCCCTTTACCTTCCTAAAGATTCGTGGACTTGTCTCAGAAAGTCTGAGTCTGGGAATGCTGTTGTTGAAACTGGCTGGCTTGTACAACCTGATCAGGCAATAGTTTCCATCTGCGAGGTGGGAAGCTTCGGAGATCTTAAGGTAAATCGATCAATCTTAGGTGTTCCTCTCTTTGAAATAAGAACATTACAGAAATGGGAAATGCTGTTGGAAATCTTTTCTTGTTATCGTGAAAATTGAATCGCTGTGACGCTAACCCGTTTTCCGTATTGCAGGCCGTCAGCTTGAGAGTTGAGAAGCGAATCCCAGGCAAATGAGCTCATTTCTGGAAGAATCTGAAGAAACCGTTGGTTTATAATTGCCTGTGTATTATCTTGCTATTCTTTCTGAGAGTGGATTTATAGTTTACTTATCTAGAAGGTAAATCAACTAAGACAACAAGAAAGTTGACTACGTCCAAGCTTCTGCAAGTAAAGCAGTACCATGTATACTAGAAACTGCAACGCTTGATGATCCTCACAAGCCTGCAATGTTCTGAACTTTCATTCATGTATTAGCATTCGTTCCTTGGGTAAATGAGTCAAAGCTGACGATCTTATTGTAATCCATTTGAGAGGCCCAGGTTGTACTGTATTGCAAAAGAAACTTCTTGTATGAATAAATCTTTTCTCGGCAAGCAATTTCAACAGGGTGGGTGAAAATATCAAGAGCTCATACTTGTGTGAATTTTGTCTGCTTTTCCAGTCAGAAATTTTTATTAAATGAGGAAATGTCAAATTTGACTTGGAGCACAAGATGGCGTGAAAGTCATACACAACTAGTGATATGTTCCGTATAATCTCTACTGCAGTTTCACAGTTTTAATGCGTCATTCTCAGTTTCACAGAACATTTTTATTCATTTTTTTTTTTATGTGTCTACTTCAGCTTAAAATGGAAACAAGACATAAAACACATAGTAGCAATGAACTGCATGCAGCCTTGTGACTTAACCCTGTGTCTTTTGACAATATGTTTAATCATGGTTGATCATATTGGCTCAATACTATTAGATTTATGTTCTTAAAACACATCCAAAAGAAGTCTCGAGAGACATCTCTGGCGTGAAATGTGTAATGAGTCATTTCTGTTATGTTTGATTTAGGGTATGTTTGATATCAGTTCATTGAAAATTTTACTGCATATATGTATATACACACGTATTAATAATAATAACTTGGTCTATTTGAAAGAGGATAATTCAAAGAGGTTACTTAATTCATGGCAAATCATCACTTAGAACAATTAAATTAGTAAGATATTTGTTAAAAAGTTGTGTCACACAAAAGATTTTTAAATCAAAAAAATTGAAGCCATCATGTAATAAATATTGCTTTATTATTCTTAATCTATTATAAAAGAATACAAAATAAAACCTGGAGTAGTTAGCATAAGAGATAATAAATTAAGAATTGTATTTATATTACATAAAGATGATTTTTTGTTTATAAAATTCTTCTTCAATGCTAATTGATTTAATTTATTCAAAGTTTTTTAAGATATTTAATAATAGGTCCAACAAAAAAAAATTATAATTAAATTTTTATGAAATTTTTTATAATTATTTTTAGGAAATTTATATACATATATATACATATATAAATATATATAAGTTTTAAAATTTTTTAAATAGTACTACATGTCCAAACTGCTGTACTTATATATCTTAAGTTTATTTTAAAGATGTAAATAAAGGTGTTACAAATAATGTTATTAAACTTTTATTGCTCTTAAGCTTGACATACAATACTCCACAAAAAAATATAAATAAATGTAGATGTTATTTTATTGCTTTTATGAGAAATTTGATAAGCTTGTATCAAGTGTTTTGTTGCTAAATGTCACCTTGTGGCTAGTCATCTGCATAAGAACATTTAGTTAAAAACATTTATGGACAAAATTCTAATTTGTATATTTATACTCTTTAATTTTTTTATTTGAAAGATTTAATAATGAACCATAGTATAAGTAGAATCTAAAAGTATGACATCATTAAAGGGATTGGATGTCAATCTTAATTTAAACGGTGACTTAATACTTATATTTACCTAATTATAAGCAGGGACGTGTTCTTTTCTTTTTAGAAAAAAATAGCAAACATGCAATTTTTTTAATTAAGAGATAATATTTTTCATTCTTTTTAGAATATAGAAATTTAAGTTAAAAAATCATAATCATATTATTTTTTTAATTTGATAAAAAAATATTAAAAAAAAAATCTTTCTAAGAAAATCAATCTTCATTCTTACTACATCTACTACCTTATTAATCTAAGCATTATAACAACTCTCACTTTTGACATATTTGCTATTATTAAAACTACGATTCACCTAGAAAATAAGTTCCACCTACACTCATCACTTCCAACCTAATAAAAAAATTAAATAAACCAAAAACAGAATTAGACTTGTCAAAAACCCTTGAATGAAATTAACAAACACTATTAATTAGGCATCCTCTTCCAATATAATCTCCACACTACACATCATGTCATACCCCCTTCTTTTCACTTTTAGGTCAAAGCTTGCTAAGTTGTCCTCAAATAGTTGTGTTGTCACACTCTTAAGAAACCATTTCTATTAAGGGGTTTCAAACATGGCGCTTTTGCAAAACCAAATAATTAGGACTGAGCACATGATCAATTGAAATATCATCACTCAAACTCCATGGCCCCAGAATATTACTTTTGATTCAAACTTTATTACCTCCCTGTTCTGGAGTCAAAGAGGAAAGAGAGCTGAGGCAATTGATACAGTTTTTGATATTTGACCTGCCCCTTTTTTGATTTCAAAATCACCCACCTAACGAGGTGAGTGATTCGGTGAAATATCACCCGAAAAGGCCATGTTTGGAACCCCCATTTGCGTGCGGTGTTTTTACACATGGTTCTGTAAAGTGCCACCGACTTGCAACAAACCATACAGAAGAAGAAAAATGTTGTAGTTGTCGAGGTCACTGCTCTGCACTTCCGTGTAGGAAATCACATCTCCAGCCGAGGGTTTCCTAATGGTGATGTTGCGGGAAGGAATTGCGTAGGATGAGAGTGATTAGTGAGAAACTGCGAGTACGTGAATTGTTGTAATACTGTCGAGTGTTGAATTCTCGCAAAAAATGTCGATCTCGGACTGGTTTCCGCCTGGTTGAATACCTCGAGCTTGATCGGATTAGAATTGGGCATCGACCTGCGACGGCGTTTAGTGGGGTTTGCTTTTCACCGAGTTGCAGGTGGAGGACTTCATTCAAGTAGATCAGGGTTTCTTATAACTCACTTGAGAATTGGCTAACGTCCTTTTATCCATCCCCAAATGTGAAGAGAATGACCATCCCCCCCCCCCCCCGAAGCTAACTGAAATTGCAGCAGTTAGGGCTTGCTTGCAAGTAAATTGAGAGTGACTTCACCTGAATAAGCCATTCATGTGCTGTTCACAAATTATACGCGGACATGTTGAAAACCACCGCAACTGTGACATCGTCACAATCATCATTCTTGGCATGGAAATAGGGTTTTATATTATACGTTGCAACTAGTCTTACTCGTTGAGTACACTTTTTCAATTGACGAATCTCTTTCATCGTGGTAATCCTATAGTACCTAACATTCATCACATTTTCCATTGCAAGACATCACACAGAAGTACTTGTTGGAAGGCTTGAATGCAATATTTTATTCAGACATTGTACACCGCGTGATGTGAAAAAATCATTCACTGTAGTGTTGATTGCGAGAAGCGACAGCAGCTGAGGCGAACCTTCTGCTTGGATTTCCCACACAAGATTCGTAGTCAATCGTTCTTAGAAAGAAGACTACATTAATACTTTTCTTCTGCATTGTGCTTGGAAACAATGTGCCAAACTGAACCGTAAATGGTGACGACGTTTCAGAAAAGCCCGGGATGACAACAAGAAAGTAGGGAGGAATGCCCTAAATTCAAGGCAAAAGACGGCGGTGAAGACCCTCGTCTATAAAACCTCTGTTTCCTCGTCGGGAAATTCTGACCGTTAGCGCCGGGCTGCCACTCCCGCAGATTCGGGTCCACCTAAGCGAGCTTCGAAAGCGGCCAATCAGCATCACGGCACTTTCCCGCGTTTGGTTCGAAACCTCTGCCGTTGCATCGCCCGTCCCTCAAATCGGACTTGGGCACATCCATGCATCACAATCATCAGCCTGTCAGGCTCGCATTGTTGGTCTCCCGGACTTCAATCGAAGCTGGGATCTCACTGCTCAGTCACTGCAACAGTCTCGTCCTGTTAGAAACGGAAAAAGCAGCAATCGAATCTCCTTCTTGAGGGTATTCGTCAATGGTCGTCATCCGGCGTATTCATGTCGCATTCTCCAGGTAAGGATTGCTGTCTCGTGGATTTTCGATGCTCCTCCCTGATTTTTGAGTTAGATTCTCGCTCAGGGTGTAGTTAGTGAAGATGCCCGAGGAAATGTATGTTGTGATCTAGTCTTGGGTCATGGGTTTGGACGATTATGGCTTCGTGCTTTTGACCTTGTAGAGTGCGCTGAGGATTGTGGTTTAGGTTTAGGGTAGGAGGTTCTCTCCTGCTGTTGATGTTCCTCTTTCGGAGTGAAGTCGGCACGGCATGAGGCGAAACTTACCGAGAGTTTCACAAGCTTTCGGTCTCTGGCTTTTTGTTTAGGTTGCGTGTATTTTCGAGCGATGAATGTCTTTTTAGTTCGTATGTAGCGATTTACTAGCTGATTGTCACGTGTTTTGATCAGTGGACAAGACAGGGGTCTTTGGAGCCATGAGTCGTAAGTGTTGAGAAATTGGAAAGGAGAGGGGTTCAGCTGCCGAGTTGCGCTTTGTTAAGTTCTGTTGTAGAAGTGAGAAATGGTTTTTAAGCGGAAGTCTGCCGGTCGTAATGGTGATCAACCGAGGAAAAGAGGACGATGGGCGAAACGATCCCCTGTGGCTGAAGAGAAAGACGAGGCGAAAGAGCAGGCGAAAGAAGTGATAGAGCAGGTGTCAGGAGAAGGCACAGCTGCTGCTCCACTCAAAATCAAAGTAAGTGGTGCCAACAATGGTCCTCTGCAAGTGTTAGTAATTTCCAAGAATTTAACCTAGAGGTCTATCACAATCCAGGAACTATGTTTGTATCGCTTCGTTCAAACGATAGGATCCCAAACGAGGAACAACTTGCACTGCTCGATCTCAGTATCAGGTTCAACAAACGTGGATCGACTGATTGGTGTACAAACTTTAACTTAGTTTTTGTCATTTATTTATTTATTTTTTAATATTATTTTTCCTCCAGGAAGATGATGTTGCTGCAGATGAGAAAGGACATGCCGAATCGCCCGTTTCAGTGCTGTGTGACGAGGTTGTCTGCTTCACATTATCGTGCATTTTGGAGTTTACTTCAGTTTCCGAAATATGTTAGGGTTACATGCGCAAGACCTATCAGAGTAAAGGCGAGGGATCTGACTCTTATACGCTTGATTCCAGGGAGTATCTGTGGCAACCGACGACGTAGTCGTTACAGAGAAAATGTTGGAGGAAGAAAAGCGTCTCGCGGAGATCAGAGCCGCTGAAGAAGCTGCGGAGGCAGAAGCACTGTTAAAAGCTGCACCTGACATGGACGAATCTTCATTCAGCAAACTCGATCAGCTCCTTAATCAAACGAAGATGTATTCGGAGTTTCTTCTTGAGAGAATGGATGACATTGCCCTGGTGAGTCTCATTGGTTTTTTTAGTTGAAGAGAACAGCCCTTCGTGAGACTTGGATGTTTGTGATTGATGGTTTGAGACTCATCATGAATGGATTAACGTAGTTTTTTTTACCTTATGAGGATAAACAGTTTGGATAGCTCAAGGGACCTGGTGACAAGAGATGAATACTGCGAGTGAGTATCCTCGAGTAAAGTATACTTTCAGCCAGATTCTCAGGATGAACTTCACGATTAACGTATTATACTTCATGCATCGGTTGGATGGGAATTATTTCTGCGCACAGCACAATTCTCTATTCACAGAAATTACAGAACAGCTCATATCCTACTTCTGTTACAGGCTCCTGATGAACAAGAGGAAGGCGGAAAAGGGGACGTCAAAGACACAGAGAAGAAAGGAGGGGGCCGGAGAGGAGCGGCTGGCAAGGTTAGCCGCTTTAGTTCCTTTTTGTTGGTCCTTTGAGGAGATTTCATTTCTTGGTACTGTCTCGGGGACTTCGAAGGATGTGAGTGCGAATTTAAGGTCCTCCATGTCGATCTTATGGACAGGCTAAAAAAGCAAAAGAAGCGAAAGAGGCCATGGACGCTCAAATTGCTAGAGTAGAGGGAGAAGCTGAGGAAGAGGTAGTGTTGGAGGATACGAAGTTTATGACCGAAGAGGAGCGGAATTACAAGGAGCAACAGGAGATCTGCCCGCTTCTTACCGGAGGGAGGTTGAAAGGCTATCAACTGAAGGGTATAAAGTGGATGATTTCCTTGTGGCAAAATGGCCTCAATGGGATTTTGGCTGACCAGATGGGGCTAGGAAAAACGGTGCAGACGATTGGTCTTCTTTCTCACTTGAAGGGGAAGAAGATGCATGGCCCATTTTTGATTGTAGGGCCTCTCTCGACACTATCCAATTGGGTCAGCGAAATCAAAAGGTGGAGGTTCCTCCTTGCATTTCTCTTCCCTCGCGTGCAGTGTCAATATCAAATGGATAAGAATTCTGGAAGGAATTGATTTGTAGTGTTAACAAGCCTCATTATTGTTTAACCGGCTGGCGCTTCACGGATCTCAATCTCAATCTGCTATGGAAGTTACAAAGTGTACTAGTTGTGGTTGCACCGATTTTTTGTTTTCTCCTTATAAGAGTGCCTTACTCTATGGACTGTAGTGTCGCTCATGAAAGGGCTTACTGTGACAATCACAATAGGGAGCGTTGCTCTATGTTATTTGCGGATAAGTTATCGGCCGAGTTGGCTGACGCACAAGTAGGACGTCATTCGACTCATTGTATTATCGTTTATCGATACACGTCTGACGTACTTTCCAATGATATGCTCTGAATTTTGACTGCAGATTCGTGCCATCAATGAATGTTCTTTTATACCATTCATCGGAAGGGAGAGTTGGTCGTGAGAAGCTCCGTAGACAGCACATGCCCACTAGTGTGCCGAAAGAATCCTTTCCAGTCATTGTCACTTCTTTTGAGGTAGCCATGAACGATAGAAGGTTTTTAGCCAAGTATAAGTGGAAGTATATCATTGTGGATGAGGTGAGTTCTATCATGGGCCTGTTGATTGATGACACTTGAAATTTTTATTACCATCCATTTACTTGGTTGCTGAGTGGAGGAGCGTTGAACTGTATCGTGTGCCTGGTGTTGTTCAGTTGAAGTCTTTGCTTCAATTTTTCCGAGTTTGACTTGATTATAGTAGAAGATAAAATTACTATATATATCATGTGACTTTCTGTCAGTTGACAAGGAAATAAGATATTTCCTTTGTTCAGTTATTGAGTGAGTTATCTTTTATGTTACAGGGACACAGGCTCAAGAACTGTGATTGTAAGTTATTGAGAGAACTCAAGCAGTTGTCGGCCGAGAACCTACTGTTGTTGACGGGAACACCCCTTCAGAATAATTTGCCAGAATTGTGGTCTTTGTTGAACTTTATTCTTCCTAATATCTTCACCTCACTTCAAGAATTTCAATCCTGGTAAGTACGACTTTAGCTACTTCAAATGTTGCAATATCTAGTCCCTTTGCAAATGAATCGATTCTGGAGGCAGTACATGTATTGAGCCTGATTAACCGCCACTTTTAATCCGTTTAGTACTGGCACAGAGTTCCATGAACAGTCTCCTGCCTAATGGGATTTGGGATGGTAGCTACATATGGCTTGTTCTATGATCATATTGATCACTCTCTTGGATTATGACATAATTTGTGCAATAGGTTCGACATTGCTGGAAAAGCTTCTGGAAATAACAACGCGCTAGAGTCGCGGAAAGTTCAGGTACAACTTTTTCGGTTCATTTCATTCTTGAGTTCCTTTTGCGTTATGATTTTTCAAGTTTTAGGTTCGGAAGATGGGCCTGTTGGTTTTGGTGCATAAACCATATGAATTAACTCGAGGCAGAAGCACTTCCTTCTCGCAGAATGACGCTAGTGATCTAACAATCTGACCATCAATCTTTGTAAATTGTTTGAACTCCGCGGATAATGAGCAGGTGGTATCCAAGCTACATCATATATTGCGGCCTTTCTTGCTGCGACGTCTGAAGTCTGAAGTTGAAAAATCTTTGCCTAAGAAAAAGGAAATAATCCTGTACACACCAATGACCGAGAAGCAAAAGGCATTCAATGACCATCTTGTGGCTAAGACACTCAATGAGTATTTTGCTGAGAAAGGAAACAGTTCTGGTATGCTCTTTAGTCTACACCTGCAGTGAATACTTGATCGTTGAATGGCTTTTTACATACTTAAGATACCCTCCCGGGGTTTTACAAATATCAAGGTTGCAACCTGTTTGATAGCTGTTGATGAACTCTGACGTGATTTACGGACCCCAAGCCTCCTAGATTATCTTACTCTTGGTGCACTGAAGTATGAATTATCCAATTATCCTCTGGTGAAAGAATGGAGAGTTTTTTGCACAAATCAAATGAACGCCGTGTATTGAAGGCCATGATTGATGATACTGAACGTTCTTGTTTCCGTTTTACCTTCCAATCTTGCAGGGGCAATGTTGAAGGCACAGCTCAACAGTGTATGCATGCAACTTCGAAAGAACTGCAATCATCCAGATCTCTTCCATTCTCACTTTGAGGACGATAGTACGTCTCTGCTCCACTCAGCTTGGTGCTCAATTAGTACAGAAAAGCCTCTGTTTTCGTGCTTTGATTGGATTGGGTTGGAACTGTGTATAACCCTTAAAACATTCACTCATACTTGTCTTGTTTGTAATTTTGCAGTTAACTATCCTCCTGTGGATGAGTTAGTAGCACAGTGTGCCAAATTTAAGCTCATGGATCGGTTGCTGGTTAAGTTAAGAGAAAGGGGTCACAAGGTAAATCTTCACTTGTTTCCTGCCTTAATTCATTTACCTCTTGTTTTTTTGTCGTTACTACTTGCTTATTAACAACCAACGACACTCTTTCTTTTGGGATCAAACTGATGCCTCCTCTTCTTGTACCAGGTCCTTATATTTTCTCAAATGACCAAGATTCTTGACTTACTGGAATACTACTTGGAAGAGCGAGGCCATAATCCTTGCCGAATAGATGGTGGTGTGCAACAGAGTGTTAGACAGGAACAGGTAAGGCGAGGATAACCGTGTCCAACGTCGATGAAACATTCATAATTCGTATGGTCTTTCGGAGATAGTCAGAGGACTCTAATATTGGATGCATGTTCGCACACTCCACTCTCGCTGGCTCTGTCCCCAAAAGTTAAAATGTATTTGCCATAACTTCCAGAATCCAGTTTCTCAAGTTCTTTTTGGCCTGCAGATCAGAAGTTTTAACGAGGAAAAGTCGAGGTTTGTCTTTTTATTGAGTACCCGAGCGGGAGGGCTCGGTATCAATCTCACTGCCGCAGATACTGTTATCTTATATGATAGTGACTGGGTAAGTCTTTTCATGTCTCTGGTCTACCCATTTGGATGCTGCTAATTCAGAAAATATTATGCAGACGACACTGACATTCACATCCTCGCTCTCAGAATCCACATATGGACATGCAAGCCATGGATCGTTGTCATCGAATTGGACAGACCCGCCCTGTTCATGTGTATCGGTTGGCAACTGCAAAGTCTGTAGAGGTAACTGCTGTACATGATAAGCCATCAGGGTCAATTATCCCTATGTCGCTCCGTCTTGTCGATATGAATCGAGGTTGTTGAACGTTCCATGTGCCTGACCTTAAGGTTGTCCACGTGTATTGGTTTCAAATCATGCAGTGCCACATGCTGAAGGTGGCAACTGGCAAGTTGAAGCTAGAGCACCTTGTGATCGAGAAAGGTCATTTTAAACAGGAAAAGGAGCCCTCGAAGACTGTCTTGCAGGTGAGTGCGTTGAACTTATTCCCTTGGTCCTTTGAAACTACATAATTCGGAAGGATAACTGACTTGTATGGTTTTTCTTTCGTGGCTGCTACATCTAGTAGTTGTAACCTGATCTTGTTGATGCACAGGAAAAGGATTTGGTGGCTATTCTTACATGCAACCAAGGCGAAGAAGAGGAATACGTGCAAAGCAGAGAGATAAGCGAAGAGGATCTGGCGATTGCTATGGACCGTAGAGAACTAGTAATCGGCACTGAGGAGTGCATCAAACAGGGAATACCATTACTCCCCAAGAGAGGTCCTGGCTGGGAAGAAGTATTCCAAGGTGGTTCGGATGGTAACCTTCTTTCGTCCATAGAAGGCTACAGGAAGGTGGCTCAGACAGCAGCTGCAAGTTGAGTCAGTAATGTAGCAGGAGGCGAATTTTGTATTGTAAAACACTGTTGGTTTGACTGTTTTGGCCACTGATAGCTCCCAGACCATTTATTGTAGCTGGTTGTAAGTACCCATATTATTGTCTTGCTCCTGACGTCACTCAAGGTGGTCTTGAACCACTGACAAGCAATTCCGTCGCCAGCCGTGAGAGGGAATTGAACTTAATCCATGAGTGTCTTCAAGCTGTCTTTGGAAGGTTTCTGTAGTTTCTTCCATTGTGGTTTGACATGCTGCACTCTCATTCACCAAACATCTTTTTTCCTTCCTATCAATTCATCTTTTTTACCGAACTCACCTATCCAGCATGATCAGATTTACCTTTATTCTTTTGCCACTTTTCTTTCTATAGTTTTATAGACCACTTCCCTTTTACGTTCCTGCTCATTCATACAACGCATCCATCTCAATTCAAATTCAACTGCATTTCACCATACTCGCCCATGTATTTCAATTGCTGTAGGTGCCTACGAACCTTCCATTTGATTGTCAGGCTCGGATCCCGCATGCGCGAGCTAAGCTTAACACACTCAGTTCCAACACCGATACTACATTATCTCTTGGAAATCATGAATTTTAATGTATACTAACTCCCTCCATTGTTTCTAAACGAACTCTAACCACACAAGCATTGTGAGCATTTACCTCCTCATTCCATTGAGATATTTCGGTAGTAGGTTGCTCATTCTTAATGAAGTAACAAATACGACCAACATTGGAATGTCATACCTGAAATCTCAAGATACAGCAGATTCAGACAACATACACGTAGGAAGCAAAAAATGGCCACTTCCATGTCAGGATAACCCCTCCACGTAGGTGGAAAAACTCTCAGCCACGTCTGCACGATACCTCCACGTAGGTTGAGAGGCTCTCAGCCAACAGAGACTGACCACGTCACCAGGAAGTTTCGAAGAACGGCATCCAAACAAAGGGCGGCAGGCAGCGTCTACAGATTTTGCATTTCCGTGGCTGAATGTCCTTGTGCTCTGAAGGGGTTGTTGTGGTTGTTGTTGTTGTTGTGTGTGTGTGTGTGTGTCCCAACCGCGCAATCCATCGGTGTCTCACGCTGTGAGTCCGGCCATGAGCGCCTGAACGCGATGCAGTACAGGGAGGCATGCTCTGTGCTTGGCCTGCCATCCAACGCCACTCCACACCAGGTTTCGTCTTTCTCTACTTCTCCTTTTCTGCTGCTCATGTGTAGCTCAGTTACGAATTCCCCTGAGGAAGCATGCGGTGAGTGCCAATTTGTGGAGAGGTGAGTTTCGTTTCCTTCATGGGTTAGATTCGTGGGTTGATTCGGAATGGCAGATTAAGAGTGCGTACAAGCGGAAGGCGTTAGAGAATCACCCTGACCGGTTCCCTCCTCATGTTAAGCTTGAGGCTGAGGCTCGGTTCAAGCATGTACTGGTCCTGAACCTTGAGTCATCACAGGTTGGGTTTAATTGAGGTTTCGTCTGTTAGGTTGGTTTCGTCAGGAATCGGAGTTCTTCTGAGCCCGAGTAATTTTTCAATGGAGGAAGTATATCTAAGTAAGTTTATACCCTAGATTATGGTGTTCCTAAATGATGGTTGTGGTTGTTATCTCTGCAGATTTCAGAAGCATATTCGTGTCTGAAAAATGGTGAGTAGTCACTCAAACGCTGCTTGTGTGAGTGTTGTTTTTGTTATGAATTTTTACACACTATAATTATAATGTGTAATGAACTGCACCGATGTACTTGACTTGCAATTTGGGTTGGATGGAATTCTTTAAATTCTGCGTAGATATTCTCTTGACGAGACTGTACTTGGAAGTGTATACACCGCCAGTTCTTGTAATTTCTCATTGAGCTGACTTGACATTGCTGAACGTGGAATAGGTCCACAAAGTGCATATGGATATGGTGGGCGATCACAGCATCCAAGTAAGTAACTGAGTCACTTCAATTGGATGTAAGATCATTTGAATTTTGTGTTGAGTAATGCAAATTGATTGCCTTGGAGAAGTATTTTTCTTATGACTGTTTGAGGTGCATGAACTCTTTCCTGTTTGGAACTCTTATGTTGACTTAAAACTGTTATACGCTTGATATGAGAGACTTCGTTCTGTTTACGCTTCTACTATATTTCTTTTCTTTTCGTGTAAATTACATTTAAGGGCTTTGGAATGCTATTTCTGAGCTATTTTTGTCTGCAGATTCCAGCGGCGGCTCATCATGGGTTCCCAGGGGCCGTCGAATCAGCACTTTTGCCGCAAGTGCTCCTTTTGCTTTGCTCATTGCTGGCACATTAGCTCTTGGCTTCTCTCGGGCTGCCAGGTGATTTTTCAAGCATTTATTAGGGTGTAGAGACAACTACACTTGCTTGGTGAAATACCATGAATGTTAATCTAACTTACATTACTTGATTGTTTTGAGCAGGGCATACCGAAAACAACAAAATGAATCACCTTCCCGCAACCCATTTCTGCCATGAACAACATGCGGTGATGTTTCTGATATCTGTTTCGAAGGCGTCCAAAAATTTCCCTCATTGTTCAACATTGTGCAGAAAATGATTTCTGGATTCGCATTAGATTTTGTCAATGTGCTGATTGCTCGTTTCCTTTGTAAATAAGTTACATTGTGATTTTGCATACCAACTATTCTTGAGGTGCTACTCTAATTTTGTCAGCACAAGTATTTGAAATAGAAATCATCTTGCACCCTTGAAGCAAATTTAGTTCAAGATTGAATAGTCTGACAACTTTCCTTGTATCTCTTGCTTTGGGGCAGCTACGCCATTTAGAGTCTTGGAATAGTTTTTTTGATGTTTTAATGAGTGCGGCTTTGATTTGGGGGCATATTCGATGTGTCTCGAAGCGAAGCCTGGGCTTGTATGAAGTCTAAGTAGCTTTTGCATTTAACTTTGAAAACAAAGACTTGTATACCATAAATGAGGTGGTAGTTTTGAAGTAATTACTGTTTTTCGGGTGAACTTTCTTGTGAATGTGAACAACCAGGGTACAAAATCTATTAAGGAGAGAAAAAAAAATATGCATAGAACAAATAATATTTATCTTCTAATACTTGCCCAAGAAGTATAATATATGATGAAACTTTGTTTTATGAAGTGATTTTTTATTACATCTTATCCCGTTGTGCCATATAAAGGAGGAATATTTAATCAATGTACAGGAACTTTAGTAAAATATTCTTTTATTAAAAATGTGAAATAATAGTTTATATCCTATTTATACTTTTCTAAGTTTGTTTGTTATAACACTCATAATTATATTTAGAATTATGATGTTGTACATAAATCAATTGAAATTTATTTTATATAACAAAAAAAAGCAAATAAATACTGTGTGTTATTTAAACTTAACAAATTGGATAATATATTACTTACAAAATAGAAATCATGTATTTTATAAATTTTGATTTTTGAAGTAATAATATTAAATATTAATTATTTATATTCATTTTTTTAAAAATAATATTAAAGATTGGAGAATGCTAAATCAAACCCACTGATTGTTAATTTAATCCACCTATCATAATTAGCACTATATCCCTCCTTCTTCGTTCCAATTTCCTTGTTTTGCAAAGAGTATAAGACAAATACAATAATGTTCTTCTTGCCTTGATACAAGAATAAGACAAGTCAATGAGATATTTTAATCCTAAATTATCAATGTTTCTATAATTCTTCCCTAAAGACTTTAAGAGTTGTATTATTAGTCTACACTATTTAAAGTTGTTGGTTGTGTAATGAATACCATAATAAACCTTACATATCGATGCTTTTTAGAATTTGATTGGATTATAAAGTATAACCCATGCTATATAATGTTTTATAATCCCTTCTTCTTTCTTGTCAAAAGCAATGTTATAAGACTCTTCATATAAATGATTCATTAATCTAATTCTAAGGATTTGAAAGAACTTAGAAATACTTTTTACAAGAAATTTTTTGTAGCACAAGAGACAAAGAGGAAGTTGATTGAAAAAGAGAAACAAATCTATGGCTTATTACAAAAGTAGAGACATACTAGTTTGGCTTATGTGTAGAGGACCAAGAAGATTCCTTGATTAAGCACAAAAAGAGATTTAATTTTACAACATGATCAATCTTTAGAAAGACCTTGAGGAAGTGTGATACTTCAATTTGAGAGCTCCAAATCACAAAGAGGATACAATCTTCAATACTCCAAATTAATGAAGTTGCACTTTTGATGAACAAGAAAAGAACAAAGTCGCTTAGACCAACTAGGCCATCCATAAAAATGGTGAAAAATTGTTAATATTGCCTATATTGATGATTGATTTGGTATTGAAACTACTTATCATGGTGATCTCTAAAATATGGCAACAAACATTGGAGGGTTACAAAAAGGATGTGAATGGGCATATAGTATAGGAGAATTGGGATGGAGGACAAGAGATGGGAACATAGACAAAGAATGGAGGATGTAAAGTAGAAATAAGAATAAAGATTGGAGGCTATGAACAAGAACAAGAAATAGAAAGTTTATAATAGAGGGGGGGGGGGAGGTTGGGACGAGGGACACAAGCTAGGAATGGGAGTGGAGGTCAAAGATTAGAAATAAGAATGAGAGACAAAAGGATTTCAACCCAGATAGTGAGGTTGGGATGAGAGATGTAGACTAGAAATGAGAACAAAAGACAAAAGAATCACGATGAGGATGGAGGATACAATGATAGTTACGATGGATGGATAAAAAAGTGTATCATTTATTTATTGTAATCAAATAATGATATATATTTTTTGTCAATCTGATGATGATTATTTAAGTCAAATTAACAATTAATAGAGTTGATTTAATATTTATGCATTTAGAGCTTAGATAAAATCATATATTTTAACAACTAATGGAATTGATTTAATATTTATCATTAGTCATTAATTTAACTTATATATGATTTTATCTAAGCTCTAAATGCATAATCAATAAAAAAATTAGATATAAATTATATTATTTTATATTAGATGATGCAATTAATAATGATTAGGTTAAGTATATATTGAAGTATTATTTAGTCCCATCTTAGGTGTAAGATAGAAAGACTTCATATTAGAATAACATAACCAAATTACGAATAACCAATCTATGCTAATATAAGGTTAGAGTTAGACCTAGTCTAGGGATTGCAATCCTTGTTTGTTACACTCTCTTTGACAATATAAAACTTTGTAAAAAATTATGTTTAAAAATAAGAATTATCACTAAATTTTAAAACTACTTAACATTAAACTAGAGATTAGTTCCAATATAATATTAGAGATACAATTTGAGAACTTCTTAGGGCAAGTTCCAAAAATATAATAATCAAAAGCTTGCAAAAGAGAGGCTATATTGAAGATGTTTTGCCTAGAAATCAGAGCACAAGTAATCTTTTTTCACTAGCATGGCTATAAACAGCTTCACTACCAAGGAATAGCTAAAGTTAAAGAGCTCATGGTACACAATCTAGAGGCAAAAGATACAAATGAAGTTTACAATTGAAAAAATGTGAGTTAGACTTTAGCACAAAGGCATACAAGATAGGTCTCATGTCACTTGATTTTGATTTGGAGTGTAGCAAACTTGCACATCACTCTACTCCAGTATCATGTGACAGCATCACTGATCCAGAGTTTCATCTGCTGGGCAACCGGTTCAACACCTGTGGAACCATATGACTTAAACTTAGCAATGGAGTTCTTCTCACCTAAACAAGTGAACACAAATTCCTCCATAAGGAGGTTGGTTTTTGCGGAGCTCTTCCTTAGAAAGAGATCTCGAAGCTCATCTCCTTGCCAACTGCGATTGTTACGTCTCCCCTCACGATGTCACACGAAGTTAGAAAAGGTTCACCCTGAAACACAGGGCTGGACACAAAGATTAGAGCCACCATCGCAAATGCAAGCAACTAGAAAACAGTTGACATAACAAACACAAAAGAATTCTGTTTAATCCAACAAACCAACACACACCGTCAAGTCAGAGCCTGCAAATAAAAACCCAGAATTGGGTCTGTATTGGATCCGTACCTGCAGAGCCTGACGAAGTGTGCAACAGGAATTGTGCCCAATATTAATTAATTTGGACTTGTAATTTCGAATAAGCTCAGATCGTGTGTATTCTTTCCAAAACTCCACAGATGAGACTTCGAGTGTTTACCGGCCATTGTGAAGAATTGCAAACTAAGTTTGCGTATGTGACCATTTTTAGAAATATCTTGTTTGCATCAATGGCACGTGACTACAGATTTCTCGAGAGCAAATTCTAAGCTTCTGTGGATGCATACTCTCTATGCGGGTCACAGTGACCAGCCTAGTAGTACTTTCCAATCTGAGTACAATAAACTGTTTATTCTTTAATTTGGCCGTAGCACAACATAGATCAGCAGAACAGCCCACGCATACTTGCCTGGACAGGACCCTGTTGTGACTCACAATCTCAGGTCCTATGTAATGCTTCCATCGAAGCCATGACACGAGAACTAGCTGATTTTTAATCAGAATATATATATATATATATATATATATATATATTTGACTAGCAGATTTGTTGGCAATTCAATCCAGGCTCTGCAAAGTAGCATCCCATGCCGTACTTTCCAAGAATCAAACTTGCACAAGAAATACACAAAAACGGTATCTCCAACACATTTTTATTTTCAGAAACATACATTCAGGATGTGCATTATGAAGGGGTTTTCAAGCAGCTGACACTGAGAACAACCCAGCATCAAGGATGGCTTTAGCTACTTTGTTCCCACTCATCCATCTCAATATTCAAACAATGCAACATCTCACTCTCTACCAACCGTATCTTCGTAAAATATAAATCCCCTTGTCTGAATAAAGTTGATTGGGTTTGATAATAATTGATCCTTTGCTCAGTTGCATCTAAAATTGTGAAATAAACTCCCTTGGTTAAGACAGCTTGACTTCACAAATGTCCATTTGAAGTGCGATTTGCGACTAGTCCTATTCAAAAGAGCCACATAACATCTCTTCTTAGATCTAGTATTAGCTACAAAGTCAAATTACTCAACTTCCACTAAAACTAGATTTAATACTGCTTCAGTCATTATCCAAAAGATCTTTTTACTAAACAATCATTTAGACTTATGTGCTATATTCAAACTTGAAAATCAAAATTATAGGTATATACATTCTCATTTAATGTAGGACATTTCATCAAAACATAGAATATTGTCTTGTCTAATTTTCCTTTTAATATAGTGCAATTTAAAAAATAACATATTGAACTTAAATTAATTTTTTTTGGATAATATTACGAAGAAAAATCATAATTTATATAATTATGTAAATTGATGGTTTTCTTTATTCATGGTATTATATTGACTATATTGTTTAAAACATAAAAAATAATAAAAAAATATTTTAAATTAACTGATTTTATATTTTAATTTTTTTTCTTATTAAAAAATTTAACCAAAATAAAACTTCAAATTTTTAAACTTGCATAATATACATTATATAAAAAAGCCATAAATATTTTCAAATATCGCAACTTGTACATTATATAATTTTTAATCTGATTGAACTAAAATATGATTTAAACTAGATTTTAGAATTATGTTAAATTTATTTCTTTATCAATTTTTAATATTTTTAATTTTTAATAGTTTTTAAAATTAAGTTTCTTGAAGCTGACATGAAAGATCCTTCTTGGTGATAACAAGTTAATCAACTAATTTTTTCTATAGCAAAAATTCTAATATCCTTGATTTTTATAATTTAAATTTAGAAGAAATATAAATTTATATCATTTTTGTAAGATTTTTGTTCAATATTAATTAATCTACTTAATTATCTTATAGAAGATTGTAAATGCACTTCTATCAAAAGATGATATAAAAATATATTTTAAGTGTCTATATCTTATATACAATATTATATTATATTTATTTATTTATT